TTTAACAAAAAAACGAAGTCCAGATGACATGATTCAACCTTTTTTGTTGTTATATACCTGGATGACTGAGAAAACAAACTTTGTGTTCTTCTAACTACTTTCTGCTCATTTCAGCTTATTTATGCAAGTTTAAGATTTTTCTGCTATTAAAGCTACTGATTAGCTGTTTTATGCTAATTTTAGCATTTTCAGTTAATTACACATTTTTTGCACTCATTTAAACTTTTTTTAGTCCAATTCAGCAAAAATGCTCTCTCCACTGGTAATTTAAGATTTTTCTGCCTTTTTAGCTGCTTTTCTGTTGTTGTTGTTGTTGTTGTTGTTGTTGTTGTTGTTGTTGTTGTTGTTGTTGTTGTTGTTGTTGTTGTTGTTGTTGTTGTTGCTGCTGCTGCTGCTGCTGCTGCGTTGCTGCTCATTTCAGCTTTTTTCAGATAATTTCCACTTTTTTGTGCTAATTTCTGCTTTTTTCAGCCTACGTAACTGGGCAAATATGTTCTTTCTGCTTCTGCTAATTTAAGCTTATTCTACCTTTTCAGTTAGCTTTTTTGTTCTTTTCTTTTTTTTCTTTTTTCTTTTTTTAGCTAATTTCAGCTTTTTTCAGACAAAATCAAGTTTTTTTTTATGGTAATTTTTGCTACTTTCGACCTAATTAACCTCTTTATGAAAATCTCAGCTTGTTATGCTCCTTTCAGATTTTTCTGCTAGTTTCAGCTTTTTCTGCTATTTCAGCTATTATTTAGCTGTTTTATGCTAATTTTAGCCTTTTCAGCTAATTCCACATTTTCTGAGTTCATTTCAGCTCTTTCCACTTCCTTCTGGTAGTTTAAGGTTCTTTCTGTCTTTTCAACTACTTGTTTAGCTAATTCCAGCTTTTTTAAGCTAATTTCTTAATTCTTGTGCTCATTTCGGCTAATTTATACCTAATTCAGTAAAAACGTGTTTGTTCTGTTTTCTTCTGCTAATTAAGTCTTGTTCTTCCATTTCAGCTATAATAATTTTTTTTTTTTTTTTTACAAATTTCAGCAAGTTATTTCAGTAATAAGCATTCACACTGCATTGTCACAGGAAATCCAATTTCTCTAGATATTTCTGTTTTTCTCTTATCAGCCAAAACGTGTATCTCATCACATTTAGTGTTTTATTTACAAATTAAGTGATAGCTGAATTTTAGCTGCAAGGCTGTTACAATGTGTTTCTCCTTAATTTTGACAGGAACTTGTTGTATTGACTTGCTAAAGGTGGGGAAATCTAGCTTTTTGATTTACAAGGGCTGTTTCTATGGTAACAACTGACTGGTTAAGCTTAAAACATATGGACTCCCGAAATATTATGTAAACGCAGACTGTCTGCCTGTTAGCAAGAGATCTAATGAACTGTGTGGCAAATTTTGTTAAAACTCTGAGCAAGTAATCACTTGATGCATATCTACAACTGATGGGTTCTGAATACATTTTTATTCAAGAGGACCACCACAGCTCCCTCACAAAATGCAATGTTGGCTCCAACTAAGATATTATGTAGCTAAAATTTGATATGATGGCTGAAGATACCCCATATGCAAATGAAAACTGCAAGATGGCCGCTAAAGCTAAGGAAAAACAATTAACATTCTTTTTGAGTTGCAGTAGCTGAAAGCAACATCTTAACTAGAAAAATTGCATTTCCTGCAAAAATGCAGTGTGAAGGCTTATTGCTGAAGAACTTGCTGAAAAACAGCTGCAATTAGCTTAAAACATGCAGAAATATAGCTGAAACAAGCAAGTTAGCAGAAAAAAAGTGGAAAAACACATATTTGCTGAATTTGGTTTAAATATTCAGAGAGAGAAAAAAAGACTAAAATAGCTTAACAAGTACTAAACTAGTAGAAAGAAATATAAATTAGCAGAAGGAAGTGGAGAAATCACAAGTTTGCCTAATTAGGCTGAAAGAAGCAGAAATGAGTACAAAAAAAGCTGCATAGTAGCTTAAAAAAAGTAGAAAGAAGCTTTAATAACTCAAATGAAGTGGGCCCACTAAGGCTGAAAGAAGTAGAAATTAGCACGAAAAAGTAAAAATTTGCTGATAAAAGCAAAACTCTGCCAAAAACAGCTGAATAGTAGCTAAAGAAATGTAAGAAGCATAACCTCATAAATTACCAAAAGGGAGTAGAGTGATCACAATTGTGCCCACTTAAGCTGAAAGAGGCAGAAATTGGCACAATACATTGGAAATTATCTGAGAAAAGCTGCCAAAAACAGCTGAATAGTAGCTAAAACAAGCAGAAAGATTACATTGTCTGAAAGAAGTGGGTAGTGCACGAATATGCTGAATTACTCTGAAAAAAGTTGATATTGTTGATTGCAAAAAATGTGGAATTTGCTGAAAAAGCTGAAATTAGCGTAACAACAGCTAAATATTAGCTGAAATAGTTGCATTTAGCAGAAATAAGATGAAAGGAGCACAAAAATGCTGGACTTAGCCGAGTCACGTTGAATCTAGATGATTAAAAAATAAACATGCACCAAGTGTCACATTTTAAACTTTCTCCAGCAACTTTTCTAGTTTTGACATCTCGTCTGTACTTCGTGGTGTTGTTGGTTTTCTGTTCTGCTTAAAGGTGTTGGTTCTTCTTCTTCTTCTTCATTTCGTTAATGGCGGATCGCAAACAACTGTAAGGTGCATTCCGCCACCTACTGTACATGAGTGTGTAACAACAGTTCTCTACATCTATCAAATTCTATTAATTAGTCTTGTATTTTTAAGATATAAAATTATCGCTTTCCTTATTTTATATATATCCGTTATGTTTCCCTCAGTTCCTAACAGTCCTTTAAGACTCCAGTCTTGACCTGTCTTTTCAACCATTCTTTTCAGTATCTCTCTTTCAGATTCATATGTTTTACAGTGCATCAATACGTGTTCTACAGTTTCTTTCTCTCCACATTTTTCACATTTATCAGTATTTTTCTTCCCTATTCTAAATAAAACATCATTTAAGTATGTATGACTTACTCTTAATCTGGTCATTATGATTTCTTCCCTTCTATTTTTCATATTAATATTCTTAATTGCTATTGACTTTTGGATTTTATATAGACTTCTTCCTTTCTTATCTTCAGTCCACCTTTTTTGCCATTGTTCTTTTTCTTTATCCTTTATCAGTGATTTTCCTTCTCCTTTCCCTATAGGAATTGTAATTGTTATTGTCTTTTCTAAAGCCCTTTTTGCTAATGTATCTGCCTTCTCATTTCCTTTTACCCCTTCATGAGCTGGTACCCAGCAGAACCAGACATCAATGCCACCTCTGTACAATCTAAATAAACTGTGTTTAATTTCTAATATTAAGTCTTTCCTATTGTTTCCTTTCCCCTTGATACTTTCCAAAACTGCTTTAGAGTCTGTGCATAGTACAACCCTTTCTGGTCTAACCTCTTCCACCCACATTAAACTCAATGTAATTGCCATCATTTCAGCTGTGAA